TTACCCACGGCGTCTCATTGCCACGTGCACCGCTTTCGTGCTCTTTCGGACAGCGGAGCGTATATCTGTACACCCTGACGGACGATCAGGTCGATGTCGTCGTCTTGGCACGGGGGTGCTGTCTTCTTCTTCTCGTGATTCGTCGTTGACCCACGTTGCGCTAAGTTTATTTTACAGATAGTAAGCATGGCGGCTCCATGCTTGAGTGGGAAACTTACACACATGCATATAAAAGTAAATCATTTCATCATCCCCTTTTATCTCCTCGGGCTTCTCAAGATTCGAGCCATAGTTGCTGCCACTTTGTGGCTGCTAAAAATGATGTGCCTCGTGCTCTCCTGAAGCGACTATGCACCTCCCTATTCCTAGCCACTAGTTGCCGCTGGATTGTAAACAACTTGAGCGGCTGCTCCTGCTCACCACATGTTGGGAAATGATTCGAATCTGAGCACTAGTGTGGCAACGGAAGATATCTAAGAAGATGTCAAAGAAGGTACACAATCTACCAAGTAATAGAGATCTAAGAAGAAGAGGTGAGAAAAATGGTACACGGATTTAATGTTGAATGGAGAGGCTAATACACCTTCTCACGTCCTCCAAAAGGAGAAGAGATTTCACTATTAAAGAGAAAACAAGATACAACTTTGGAAAAGAATAAAGACTCACAGCCAAGCCACAGAGGGGGAGGCATGGAACTCCCAATGTTCGCCACTAGAGATAAAAGGGTTTTCTATCTTCATGTCTCAAAATTATATCTTACCCCAACCCCCTTTTTTAATGCCTTGTAGGTAAAATGGATGGGACCTTCATACCACCGACTAGTCCCTAAAATAAAAATGCAAGAGAAAGACAAGTCCGAGAGGACTTTGCACGATAAGTTGACCAAGTCAACTAATACTTAAAGACTAGAGTTACAAGTGATGGAAATCGACATACCTCTATTTGCCATCAATGCGGAAAATGATGAAGGTCTTCTGATCTATCTCCTCTTTTCTTCTATTTGATCTCCGCAATCAGAACCTCTCTCCTATGAGTGTCTCTGTACAAGTTGTGTTGTTCTGTTATGTTGAAACCCCAAGGGCAAGCCTTTATATAATACGCTCTATAACTGTATTACTATTTTGCCTTAGGTAAACCTAATACCACAAATCATTTATAATCATATTAATATTCAATTAGATTAGAAAAGTCACCTTAATAGAGTTTGACTCCAACAATCTCTCACTTACTTTATTTAATCTTCTCTATATTGGATAATCATGTGGAGCGACCACAACCTTAATGCTTATAAATGATATCCTCATTTTGATCATAATATTTTTCAGAAGTATTAATCATGACGGTAAAATAACATTTAGGATGTATGTCTTTTCTATGTACTAAGATATTCATGATCGATATTAAAACTAAAAACTTTATGTGATATTTAAAGAACTTTTATGAATGCACTCACTATGTCATGACAAGATGCACAAAGTATCATTTCTATTTATCTAATGATAAATGATAGTTCATCATAAACTAATATTTAGAGATCAGACACGTGATATCACATATTACATTAACGTCTAAATATATGTCATATCCTCCAAGAAACTGATTAATCCCATCGTACAGACATGTCCACTATAGGTACCCGATGGAAGTACCTTTGTAAGAGGATTAGCTAGCATATAATCAGTCCCAATATGATCAATTGAGACTAATCGATCTTTGATTCTCCTTCACAACCACGAACCAAATCTTCATGTGCTTACAAGCACTCGAGCTCTTGTTATTGTTGGAGAATTTGACAGCAACTTCATCATCATATTATATCCTTATGGGTTTATGTATAGAGTTCACAACTCTTAACTATGTGATGAAGTACTTCATCCATATAGCTTGTGAAGATACTTAGAAGCAAGCTATATACTATACTTCTATTGTGGATGTTGTAATTGTCTTCTGCTTGGTACTAGACCATGAGATAGCTCCTCTAGCAAGTAAAAACACAACCTGAAGTTGATTTTTGTGTGTCTAAACATCCAGCAAAGTCTGAGTCGAAGTATCCAATGAATTCATTCGCCTATATGTGAGTATTAAATCTTTGGTTCCTTGAAGATATCGTAAAACCTTCTTCACAGCTTGCTAGTGCATTAGGTCAGGGTCACTTTGATACCTTCTGAGATATCTAGTGATAAATGATAGATCTGGATAGGTACATGTTTCCACATAGTTGAGAAACTCAACTATAGTAACATATGATTTTTCCTTCCTTACAAGCCTCTCCGCATCAGAGAGATATCCTTGTAATTTCCTTAGATTATCACCTTTAACAATAGGTGTTTTACTAGGAGAGTAATTTTTCATCAAAAATTGTTTCAACATATTTGATATGTAGAACCTTTGAGACAACCCAAGCATGTCCAAAAACTTGTTCTAGTGAATCTCTATGCTAATTACATAATTGGCTTCACCCATGTACTTCATATCAAAGTTAATTGATAGAAATTCTTTGGTTTCCTTTAATAAACTAAGGTTTAAACTAACAAGTAGAATATCATCTACGTACAACATAAGTAGTATCTATCTACCCTCACTTTCCTTTAGGTATATATATTGATCAACAATGTTTTCCTTAAACTCAAAGGACGTGATAACTTCATTAAATTTGAAGTATCACTACATGGAAGTTTGTTTGAGTTCGTAGATAGATTTATTCAACTTGTAAACCATATGTTTTTTTCCTTTAACTTTAAATCCTTGAGATTGCTACATGTACACTTCTTTCTTTAGTTCGTCATTTAGGAAAGCTGTTTTCACATCCATTTGATATAGCTCTAAATCAAAATGAGCTACTAAGGCCATGATTATTCTCAATGAATCCTTAGATGAAACATGAGCATAAGTCTCATAATAGTCAATGCCTTCTTTTTGTATGAAACCCTTTGCTACAAGTTTGGCTTTATATCATTCAACTGTGCCATCGTGATTTAATTTGATTTTATAAACCCATTTGTAATCAATAAGTTTCTTTTCCATACGTAAGTTTACGATATCTCATACTTGATTACAATCTATAGACATAAACTTTTTCTTCATAGCTTGTAACTATTGATTAGAGTTCACATAGTTCATGGCTTGTGAAAATGTAACGGGATCATTTACCCTTTTACCCATATCTTCACCTAAAAGATATAATATTATATAGTCAGATGAAATAGCTGATTTTCTTTGTCTACTTGATGTTCTTAGATTCACCTCTTGATCCTGATGTAGATCTTAAAAAAATGGATCTATAGTAAGCTTAGATGATTGTTCATATGATTGTTCTTGAGTAGGTATATTTGCCCCTTTATTTTTGTCCAAGGTTGGAACAACATGTGGCAAATAAACATGAGTCTCAAGAATAAGATAAATATCATTGACCTCACTAGAATATTTGTTGAGGTATAATAATATTTTCGTGAGACTCTTCAAAAATAAAATCCCTAAAGATACTCCGACTAACAGAAACATCCTCTAAGAAGATAGCTTTATTAATTTCAATGACTCTTGGGATATGTGTAGAACAATAGAATCTATATCCTCTCAACGTCTCTAAATGGTCAATGAAGTATCCACTGATTGTCCTTAAATCTAGAGATTTATCATGTGGATTGTAAAATTTAGCTTCAACTAGACAACTCTATATGTGCATGTAACTTAAAGAGGGTTTCTTATTAGTCCATAACTTGTAAAAAGTTTTCTGTATGGACTTTGTTGGAACCCTATTTAGAATATGCACAACTGTCTTTAAAACTTCACTCCACATTAAGACTAAAAGAGTAGAATAACTCATCATATCTTTGATCATTTCTTTAAAGATTATATTTCGTCTTTTTTGTAACCCCATTTATGTTAGGCTTGCTTGACATTGTGTACCGAGATACTTGTTATGTTTCTTAAGAAAAAATCCAAATGATCTCAGCATTTGTCTTTTCTCAGTATGTTTACCATAGTATTCTTCCCCTCTTATCTATTTTGACTATCTTTATAGGTTTTTCTAATTATTTCTCTACCTCTTTCTTAAAATTTTTGAACATGTCAAAGACTTTAGATTTATCATGTATGAGGTAAAAATACATAAACCTTGAATAGTCATCAATAAAAATTACAAAATACTTATAACTTGTAACACATGGATGAAAAGATCCACATACATCTATATGAATCAAATATAATGTTGCCTCACATTTTATGACATTTCTCCTAAATGTGTTGATTGTTTTTGCTTTGATGCAATCAATAGAAGTATCAAAATTTGTGAAATCCAAAGATCACAAAAGACCTTTCACTAATCTATCCACCCTCTTTTGGGATATATGTCTCAACCTCATGCCACAAAATTACTGAGTTACCATTAGTTCTATTCCTTTTATTTGAGCAAACTAGAGAAATATTTTCAGAAGAAACATTAAGCTTAAATAATCCATCAATTACACTAGTCCCAATGGAAATATTTTCTTTAATTAAAGACATGCCTAATGCCTCAAGAATGATGTGATAATTGTCTTTAACTAATTTGATAATAGATATCAAATTTCGTTGAAATGATGAAATATAAAAGCAATTCTTCAAAAGTAAAGTTTCTCTAGACTCCATAATGATTTTATAGTCTCTCATTAACTTTATGTGCAAACACATCTGATTTTGAAATACAACATACAGTTCACACTCAACTAGAGGCCACCTTATTAGAAACCCCTACAAGGTGGTTGAAATGTGCATAGTGGCACCCGAGTCAACCCAATAATTAAAATTGGGAACATAAGCTAGATATGATTCATGACTCATGACATAAACTTCGTTACCTAAATTCTTGTAGAAGAAACAACCTTAGAGATGGAGCTTTTAGCCACATCTAATTCGTGCTTCTTCTTTGAAGATTTCTTGATCATCTTGCCCTTTGATGCATGCTTCTTTGATCCATGAGTTACCATATTCATGGTATCTATCTTGTCAAGTTGACTAGCAGCTTATCTTTCTTCCTCTTGAACACACTTGGTCATGAGATCATTCACTGACCATTCATTCTTATGTGTGTTATAGGATACTTTAAAAAGGTCATATTGTATTGATAGTGTTTGCAAGATGTAATGGACCAAAAAGGCCTCAAGAATGATAATCTTCATATCATTCAATTTTCCTACAATATCACACATGACCATGATGTACTCTTGTATGTTTCCTTTCCTTATATAACACATGAAAGTAAACTTTTGAATCAAGGCACCTGCTTTGATTTTGTCAGACCCAACAAATTGTTGTTCAATCATTTCCGTATAAATAGTCACTAGATTATTAGAAGTCACAAGATCTCTAATATCTCTAGGCACATGTTGTAACATGAATGATAAAGACAATATGTTAGATCTCTCCCATCTTTCATGGAGAATCTTCACGTCTGTATTGTTTTTATCAATAAGTGATCTAGGAGCAGACACTCGAAACCAAAGATCCAAATCCATTAGGCCCAATTGAAACATCAAAGCTTCCTTCCATTTTAAGAAATTTGTGCCATTCAACATAGGTACCCTAACCCTTCTATCTGGTGCAAAGAAATAACTCACATGAAATGACCTTTATATTTAACAATAGTACTATTATAATTCTACATAGGCAGATGAAATAATGTACTATTAGTTAAATGAACATGAAACTAACTACACATACATAAAAGTCTATGAAGTATAGTACAATTGGGTACTTAAATACTTCATATTTAATATGTAAATGCAATCATTTCACCCATTTAGATATAAGTATAACAATCTCACGTTGGTGAATAATGTTAATCTCATTTATCTAAATGCAAAATTGAATGCCATTTGAATTAGATTTAAAATCTACTTGATGTAATTAATACAAATAACTGTTCTTACTTGGTGTCACATTAGTGAGGAACACAAGTTGCTCAAGTTAAATGTATAATTACATGGCATTCAATATATTTTTAAAATTGAACTGAACAAATTAATGTTCTATCTTGATAGTCCAATGCATATTGCATGTAATACATCTAATTATTGTCTAAAATTCAAAATATCAATAACATGGATATAGACAATAAATTAGAACATTGAAACTGCAATATGCTAATAATGAACACATAAAATAATAAATAAAACCCATGCATTTATTATTATTATTTTATAATAATCGACGTCAGAACGGCGTCATCACCAGGCGGCAGTCGTTTCGCGATCCTTGCGAGCCGTTCACACGGCGAAACGTCACCGCCCTAATGGGCAGGAAAACTCCACCACGACGGCGCCTCGGGAGGTGCGAAACATCCGCCCCCTAATGGGCAGCAAAACGTCGACCGCCTTTAATGGCGCCTCGGCGGTGAGTCACCGCCTCCCACGAACCGCTTCGTCGGCCCAGGAGGCGGCGCTCGCGTCGAGCTCCTACCGCCTCAGACGGACGCGACGCTCCACCCCTCTCCGCCAATGTCGGGGGTGATGGAGCACACCGCGGAGGCATGGAGTGCGACCGCCACCGCGGCAGCCAGTGGTACGGAGCCGAGGCCGACCGGAGACAGCATCGACCCCCCCGGCGTCACCACCCCCATCCTCTGCCAGTCGAGCCCACCGGCGAAAACGGGGCCCGCTGCGATGAGGACCGCCACCGCGACCAGCACGACGGCGGTGGGTATTGGGACTTCCGTTGTGGCAACCCACGCCTCGAGGACATACGACGGTCGTCTGCGTGCTCATGCTACACTGCCTAAGACCACTTTGCCGCAGCGGCCGTATGCATGGCCGCCGCTGTGGTCTTCCTGGCCACCGCTTTCCTGGTCGCCAACGCGCCAAGTGGCCGCCTTGGTCTACACCTTATATGATAGGCCTTTACATAATACGCTCCACATTACTATTTTGCGCCGGGTAAACCCAATACCACAAATCATTTATAATCGCATTAATATCCAATTAGATTAGAAAAGTTAATGGAGTTTGACTCCAACAACGAGCACACTCGACATCATGGTTTTCCTCTTCGTGAGATGATTTTGCACCATGGATAATTCTTGGTGTGTTGGCCTTCTATTACCTCACTCTCTAGGGACAAGAGATTAACTTGTGAAACAATATAGGTTTCTTAGTTTCCTGGCCATTGTTTGTTCTAAAATCTCACAGGCTCATGAAATCAAGATTGAGTTCTTCATATGCTAAGCCATTGATACAACACAAGTTGATTTAATGTCCTCCAACTAGGTGAACTGACTCATGGTAAGAACCCTAATGTTGTTGAGAAATTATTAGCCTTGGATTTGCGAGTCTATCAAGAATCCATTAGGTTAATAAATCTCCATGTTCCTTACCAATGCTAGGAAGGGTAAATAATGTAGAAGTTATTCTATAATGATATCGGAATAGGCAAACATGTCCTTAACGTTTATATTATTTATGACTCACCATCTCATAATGAAATCATAAACTCCTAACGTAGTGGGGAAGATAATAAGTGAATCATTTAGTTAATGTTATTAGCAGTGTATCTACAATGTTGTCCTCCAACAGAATTGGGTATTATACAAAATTCCCTCATTAGGAAATGCAACAAAGCAATTTTGTTTGTTCCATTCGACAGTCTGAAACAAAAACTGAATTAGGTGGCCAGAGAGGATTTAAAAGAGGGATAGAAAACGGAAAATATAAAATATATTATTTCATAATTATCTGAAAAAATAAATAAATAACTTGATTCTACAGTCTGTGAATGCTTTTGTTTTAGCTATACATCAATTGAGGTGAAAAAGTTTCTTTTAAGTGCTATTAAAAGCACCGGATCTTTGGCATCAATCACGTGTTCTTATCCACGAAGGGGGGACGACATGCTGTCCTGACCGAGCTGCCGGCCACATGATAGATGTTGGTTCCATGACGATGAAACACGTAAGTCAAAATAGGAACTCACGTGGCATCTGATTTTTGAATTTCAAACGCCATACGAATTTATTAGTCTAATACGTCGTTAGATTTTATTTAGGACGGTGTGCCACTGAAAATAATTAGTTAAATGTACATCAATTTAGAAACTGCCATTAGCAGCGAATATCCGGTGGATAAAGTCAAAACTAAAAAACAAATTCAGTAGGTATGATAACCAGTTAAAATTTAGGAAGCCTCTCTCTAAGTTTCAAGCTTTCCTACCGCTTTGTCAAAACCAAAGAAATAAGTTCCGACGCGGAGACGCGTTATGGCCTTCAACTCTGTATATATATACTTGAGCTCCGGGGAGAAGTGATGATGCATCAGGCCTACCGACCATCTTCCTCCGCCAACCCTGGTCGTCACCACAATGGTGGGAATGTCCCAGCTGATATCCACAACCCTCTCCTCCCCGGCCTCCCCTGCGTGCCCCTTCCAGAGATGCCGGCGTAGTCAGGCCACGGCCCCCAGAAGGCCCAAAGCCGGTCGCCCGGCGGTGATCTCCTGCGAGAGCAGACCGTCGGAGAGGGTCGACCGGCGGGAGGTGCTGCTGGTGCTGGGGGGGATGTGCACCGCCGGTGGCCTGGGGGTCGGCCGGCGGGGGGACGCCCTCGCGCTGCCCATCCAAGCCCCGAACCTGTCCGAGTGCCAGACGGCGGGGACCAGCTCCGGCAACAACTGCTGCCCCCCGTACAGCGCCACCATCCTAGACTACAAGTTCACCCCGACAGGAAAGCTGAGGGTGCGGCGGCCGGTGCACAAGGTGGACGAGGCCTACCTGGCCAAGTACAAGAAAACGGTGGAGCTGATGAGGGCGTTGCCGGCGGACGACCCGCGGAGCTTCGCCCAGCAGGCCAAAGTGCACTGCGCCTATTGCGACGGCGCCTACGACCAACTCATGGCTCTTCTTCCCCTTCCACCGCTTCTACCTCCACTTCCACGAGAGGATCCTCGGGAAGCTCATCGGCGACGACAGCTTCGCCCTGCCGCCGGGACGACCATTCCGCAGATCTTCACCGACCCCAATTCCTCCCTCTACGACGAGTACCGCGATCCCGCCCACAAGCCGCCGGTGGTGCTCGACTTGGACTACGGCAACAAATCCGATTACGTCCCCCCCATCCCGCAGCAGCAGATCAACCGCAACTTGTCCATCATGTACAGGCAGATGATCTCCAACGCGAAGACCACCACACTGTTCATGGGGCAGCCCTACCGTGCCGGCGACAATGCCGACCCCGGGGCCGGGGAGAACACGCCCCACGGCCCCATTCATCTCTGGGTTGGCACGCCCGAACCCTGCTACGTAGACATGGGCGTTTTCTACGCCGCCGGTAGGGACCCCATCTTCTACTCCCACCACGCAAACGTCGACCGGATGTGGCAGGTGTGGAAGAAGCTGAACCCGAGGAACGTCGACTTCAAAGACCGCGACTGGCTGGATGCGTCCTTCCTCTGTTGTGAACGGGAGCCTTGCACGTGCCCCGCGCTGTTCGCATAACGGCATAGTGCGGTTATGTAAGAGTTTTTCAAAAGAGAGAAAGTTTTCCTTGTTCCTCCGGCGAGTTCCTGACAATTGGTATCAGAGCTCCCAGGTTGCGGGCCGGGACTCGATCGCGGCAAGGTACAGCCGTTGGAATCGAGAACGCGCAATCGAGACGCGCTATGGCAGGAGGAAAGGACGGCGTGGTCCAGAGGGTGATTCGTGAGGTGAGCGCCGGGACCGGGTTCCCAATGCTCACCAAGACAGACCAACTACTCCGACTGGGCGCTGCTCATGAAGGTCAAGCTCAGAGCCCGGTTGCTCTGGACCGCCATTGAGAAAGGGGGCGTCGAACCCCATGAAGACATGCAGGCGCTCGATGCGCTCTGCAGCGCCGTGCCGCCGGAAATGTGGCCGGTGATCGCGAACAAGGAGACGGCCAAGGAGGCCTGGGAGGCTATCGCCACCATGCGGATCGGCGATGACCGCGTAAAGAAGACGTCGGCTCAGAACTTGCGGCGGCAGTTCGACTCGGCGACGTTCAAGGAGGGAGAGTCTGTTGAGGACTACGCGCTGCGTCTCAACAGCATGGCGTCGACTCTCACCACCCTCGGCGACAAGGTCGAAGAGACGCAGGTAGTGGAGAAGATAATCCGCAGTGTTCCCCAGCGTTTCAGGCAGATCGTGGTCGCGATCACGATGCTGCTCGACGTGTCGACGCTCACCGTCGCGGATTTGACGGGTCGGCTCAAGGCGGCGGAGGATGCCTTCGAGGAACCGCCGTCGGCTATGCACCACGACGGCAAGCTGTACCTGACCGAGGAAGAGTGGGACGCACGGCGGAGGAAGCGTGATGCTGAGAAAACTGGTGGTGGAGGTAGCAGCAGCGTGACGCACCGTGGCAGACATGGGCGCGGGCGCGGGCGCGGGCGCGGCCGTGGCAGCGACAAGGGCTCGTCATCAGGCGGCCTGACGGGCAACTCAGGCCGGCCCAGCGGTGATGAGTGCAGGAGATGCGGGAAGCTGGGCCACTGGGCCCGCGAGTGCCGCTCCAAGCCCAAGAAAGAGCAGGCCCACGTCGTCCAGAATGAGGAGGAGGCCTCGCTCCTTCTCGTGAAGTCAACGACGGCCATATCGACGGCGCCGCCACCAACCTCCACTCCACCACGTTTTGCTGCGACTCTGCAAGCAGAGGATCGGCTCCGGCGTGCAAGCCCACCGCCGCCGGGAGCAAAAGGGGTCCCCGTCAATGAAGGGGCCGCGAAAGAAGAGAAGAAGCCAGGCGCCCAGACCCAGATCCATCTGCGGGAAGAGAAGGTGATCGCCCACCTTGACGAGGAGGAGCTGCGTGATGAAGAGGCGTGGGTCGTGGACACGGGCGCCACGAACCACATGTCGGGTTCCCGTACGGCTTTCACCGAGCTGGACACGGCGGTACTTGGGACGGTGCGGTTCGGCGACGACTCGGTGGCGCGGATCGAAGGCCGGGGGGCAATCGTGTTCCTGTGCAAGAACGGCGAGCACCGGTCCTTCGCGGGGGTGTATTACATTCCCCGACTCACGACGAACATCGTCAGCGTCGGCCAACTCGATGAGGCCGGGTACCATATCGACATCGAGAAGGGGGCGATGAAGATCCATGAGCCAGGCGGACGGCTCCTGGCGAAGGTGATGCGCGGAGAGAACCGGCTGTACATTCTCCACGCCAAGCTGGTTCGGCAGGTGTGCCTGGAGGCGCGGGGAGTCGAAGAAGATTGGAAATGGCACGCGCGCCTCGGACATGTCAACATGACCGCGCTGCGGAAGATGGCTCGGGAGGAGCTGGTGCGCGGGTTGCCGGCAGTTGGTCAGGTGGACCAGCTATGTGAGGCGTGTCTCGCTGGCAAGCAGAAGCGGTCGCCGTTCCCCGAGCAGGGAGAGTACCGGGCGCGGCGTGTTCTGGAGCTGGTGCACAGCGACCTCTGTGGTCCGATTGCGCCGGAAACGCCAAACGGCAGCAAGTATTTCCTGCTGCTCGTGGATGATCGAAGCCGGTACATGTGGGTGGCCATGCTGCCTTCAAAGGACCGTGCTGCGGTGGCCATCAAGGAGATCAAGGCTCGGGCAGAAGGCGAGGGCGAGTCAGGACTGATGCTGGGAGCGCTCCGTACTGATCGGGGCGGCGAATTCACCTCACATGAGTTCGCGGAGTACTGCGCGGGAGAAGGTATTCATCGTCAACACACGGCGCCATACAGCCCGCAGCAGAATGGCATCGTCGAGCGCAGGAACGGCACGGTGGTAGCAACCGCGAGGAGCATGCTCAAGGCAAAGGGGCTGCCGGGCTGGTTTTGGGGTGAGGCAGTGGCAACTGCTGTATACATCCTGAACCGGTGTCCGACGAAGAGCGTGGACGGCATGACGCCTTTCGAGTTATGGCACGGGAAGAAGCCGGCGGTGCACCATCTGAAGGTGTTCGGATGCATCACCTACGTCCTGAACACGACACCGCATCTCAAGAAGCTGGAGGACCGCGGCCGCAAGATGATCTTCATCGGCTACGACTACGGATCAAAGGCCTACCGTGCCTACGATCCCACCACGAGGCGTGTCCATGTGACACGGGACGTGGTGTTCGACGAAAATGCCCAGTGGGACTGGGGCAGCGGCGCGGAGCAAGGGGATGCGGGCAGCCACGACGACATGTTCACATTGGAGTATGCCGTCGGGAACCAGGTACCTCCGGAGCTCGATGGCGCCATCGAGGTACTTGATGATGATGCGCCGGGACCGGAGCCAATGTCGCCACCGTCCGTGCACTCCAGTGTGGGAGCGGTGCCGATTGAAGATGGAGGAAAGGAGGTGGAGTTCGCCACTCCACCCAGTGTCCACATCGACCACCTAGATGCTAATCACGACGATGCGCCACTCCAGTTCCGCAAGATCGACAACATCGTTGGGCTGGCCTCGCTGCGTGGTCTCGTGTCGTGGGTGTTAATTGCAGAGGAGCTGCACGCTGTAAGTTCTGATGAGCCGGTCTCTTTTGCTGAAGTAGAGGGCCACCCAAGCTGGAGGAAAGCTATGGAGGAGGAGATGGCGTCGATCGAGGAGAACCGCACTTGGTCCCTGGTTGACCTCCCACATGGTCGCCGGGTGATCGGGTTGAAGTGGGTGTACAAGGTGAAGCGGGATGAAAACGGAGCTGTGGCGAAGTACAAGACGCGCCTGGTGATGAAGGGCTATGCGCAACGCCAGGGGATCGACTACGACAAGGTGTTCGCACCTGTGGTGCGGTTGGACACGGTGCGCCTTCTCATCGCTCTTGCGGCGCACGAGGGGTGGGAGGTGCACCACATGGATGTCAAGTCGGCGTTCTTAAATGGTGATCTCAAGGAAGAGGTGTACGTGGAGCAGCCGGCCAGTTTCATCAGCACGGGCAACGAGCACAAGGTGTTCAAGCTGAAGAAGGCACTCTACGGCTTGCATCAGGCGCCTAGGGCCTGGAACGCGAAGCTGGATGAAACGCTGTTGTCGTTTAGATTAAGGAAGAGTCCCTCGGAACATGCCATCTACACCAGGCGGAACGGGAAGGCATAGCTGGTGGTCGGGGTGTACGTTGACGACCTGGTGATCATCAGCGCCAGCTGCGACGACATCAAGCAATTCAAAAAGGAGATGGCTCACGCATTCAGGATGAGTGACCTCGGCCTGCTTCACTACTATCTCGACATTGAAGTCAGGCAGAGCGCGGAGGGCACCTTGATCAGCCAAAGAGCCTATGCCACCAAGATTCTAGAGAAGAGCGGCATGGCAGGATGCAATCTATGTCAAGTACCAATGGCAATGCGTCTAAAACTGAGCAAGAGGAGCACGGAGCCGCTGGTGGATGCAACAGCATACAAAAGCATCGTGGGGAGTCTCAGGTACGTGGTCAATACTCGTCCAGACTTGGCATTTGCTGTTGGTTATGTGAGTCGTTTTTTAGAGGAGCCACGAAAGGATCACTTGGCTGCTGTGAAGCAAATTCTCCGCTATGTGGCGGGAACCAAGAGCTGGGGTCTCAGGTATGAAAGAAAGAAAGAGGAGTAAGTCCAACTGACAGGGTTCAACAATAGTGACTTTGCTGGTGATGTTGATGCTTGGAAGAGCATGACTGAAGTTATTTTCTTCTTAGCCAACAGCCCAATTATTTGGCAATCGATGAAACAGAAGGTGGTGGCTCAGTCTAACTGCGAGGCAGAGTACATTGCGGCTGCCAATGCTGCCTGCCAGGGTGTGTGGCTCGCTTGGGTGCTAGTAGAAGTGTATGGCTTAGCACCAAGCGTGCCGATGCTAAGGGTGGACAACAAGTCTGTCATAGCGTTGATCAAGAACCCGGTTCTCCATGGACATAGCAAGCACATTGAAGTGAAGTATCATCTTGTCCGAGAATCCGCAGAAAAGGGTCAAATCAACGTGGAGTTTATCAGGAGTGAAGAACAGTTAGGAGACGTTCTGACGAAGCCACTCGGAAAAGTCAAATTCCATGAGTTTCGCGCCAAGATTGGCCTCGTTGATGTTCGTGGTAAGCACAGCAAGGCTCAGGAAGAGATTGTTGTGAACGGGGAGCCTTGCACATGCCCCCCCGCCCTATTCGCATAACGGCATAGTGCGGTTATGCGAGAAGTGCTCTAACGTGTACATGTCAGAGCACGTTGTGCGGTAATACAGAATTTCCTGCATAACGCACATTACTGGCCAGTCTTGGTCAGCTAGTTATTTCTTACGGTTATTTCTTTCCCCACTTTGTTTTCTTATTTAAAGAGGACTGTAAGAGTTTTTCAAAAGAGAGAAAGTTTTCCTTGTTCCTCCTGCTGTGTTTTTCCTGTGACTCGGGTGGTGATCTCGCCGGCGACGTCTTAACTGCCGTCGTCTCTCCGGCGAGTTCCTGACATCCTCTTCTACGACGAGGACGCCCGCCTGGTGAGGGTGAAGGTGAGGGACTGCCTCGAACCCGAGATGCTGGAGTTCACCTACCAGAATGTGGACCTCCCGTGGCTCAGTAAGCGCGCCACTCCCCGCGCCACCCCCGCGGGGAAATCGTCTTCCACCTCCTCCTCGCCCCCGTCGAAGAAGAAGAGGAGGGCGAAGCTGCTCAAATCCGCGGGGGGGGGCAGCGACTTTCCCCCTGACGCTGTCGTCGTTAGCGAGCATCACGCTGAAGCGGCCCAAGGTCTCCCGGCCCCAAGCCGAAAAGGACAAGCAGGAGGAGACCCTCGTGGTGAATGGGATCGAATTCGACCCCACAAACTGCGTGAAGTTCGACGTCTACGTCGACGACACCGACGCCGGCGAAGTCAAGCCCGACGACAGCGAGTTCGCCGGCAGCTTCGTCAACGTGCCGCACGGGAAAGGCCACAACGAGAAGATGAAATCGGTGAAGACCACCCTACGGCTGGGGATCACCGACCTGCTGGAGGACCTCAAGCTCGACGACGACGACGAGATCCTCGTCACCCTCATCCCCCGCACGGGCAAGGGGAAGGTCAAGATCGAGAGGATCCGCTTAGAGCTCTCATCCTGAGCCCATCTGCTGGTGCCTCCTCTCGTATGCATATTCCTTTCGATCAATAAAACCTCTTCTGTGATGATAGAGTTGATCGATGCTGCTTGCTTCTGGGCTCGACAACTGCCGAATTATCTAACTTAAATCTTAGATCTACTGTTATTATACATGCCTGCATGGATGGCCGATATTTCCTCGTTTATTCCCATCTTTTTCAAACCCACCTGCATAAAAGATTAATTAGGACAAAAAATCTGTTGGACCCACAAGTGGTCTCGGATGAAATACTCCCCGGTCCCTCTCACCCTCGTCGGAAACGAACCTTATGGATGGGGTGGCGCCCACGTATCTCCGGAAACCAACAGAAGGCTACAGAAGATCCTGAAGATGAATGGACGCGGTAGAAGTGGGAATACCATCGCGGGGCCATCACCATCATAAAGGTTGGCCGACACATGACAATGGGGAGCAGAAGTATATCGGTGTATGCGCCGTATCCCACAATGCAGGAGATTGACCACCTCGAATCGGTCGTAGCAAGGATAGGTCCTCTTGTATTTCTCTTTCTATGTTTCATTGGCTTCCTTTTCGTTATTATTCTCTCTTTCTCCAGTGCATAATTTTATGTAGAATCTTCCGTATCGTCCATCCAATTTGCTCTGTTCTTAAACCCAAGTTCAATCTCTATCGATCCTAGAAAGGCGAGGGGGTGTGGGATCCTGCCGATACCACAGAAGGTAGTATTATGGCCTTTTCTCTCTATGGATATGATTTCAGGAAATTTTAATACGTATTAAATTGGGGTGGTGTATATGCTCGAAACTAACGTAAAAGTATTTCCATTCTTTTATAATCTTACCTCTGAATAAATATGCGATCACCCACCCTGACGCATTTGACCATCATCTATTTGGAAATAATTACGCGGCCGTGCTCTACTCGCTTTGCACTATTCTTGGAATTATTGTGCGCTGAAATTTAAGGGTTAGAATTTTGGACTAAAGCTGAAGTGGAGACTTTGCTCGAGAGGGGGCAATCAACAGACCCACGTGGACAAGCTCGACTAGTTACCGCATTGGTTGGGCCAATCCCCTCCTCCCACGTGTCAATATCACGGGGAGGAACGTCGCGCAATATTCTTATTCTTCAATAAAAATCGGCCTGCTTGGACACTTTTACTATAATTGGAAGGGGGTTGTTTACTTCCGCGAAGGTTGACCACTCAGCATTGACTACTTGTGGATGTTGCACTGATGCAGAAGGGGGTGGCCGTCATAGTGGATGACGGCGGCCCTCTCCACGTCCACCCTGGCGGTGCCGTCGGGCCCGCGGCCGAGCCCCAGCAGGTGCCACCGCCTTCCCCGTGGCCGCGTGCGGTTGTAGAATCAACAGCTCAAGGGGGAGCGTCCCCCTCTTCCACGACGTCCTCTCCGCCGCCTGCACCGGCCAGCATTCAAGCTTGGTTCCATGTAGAATGAAGAGAGGAGAGAGAACACTAATCAGCTGGAGACATCTTTTGTACACTAAGGTCAACCCATGGGGCACTAGTGGTTAGTCAAAGATGTTCATCCTAAATTCCCACGCATATTATTTGGGGTCTAATTAGATCATTTTGAGAAAAGTAAGGATTAACACATAGAAAACGTGTATGTGCCAGGAACTAAGTGGATATTCAAGAGTAATGAGGAAAGAAATATAGCTATTGTGAAATGACAAAAAAATCTCAACATAACTCTCAAGTAATAGAAGGGTTAGAGAGGGGTGATCATTCAACTTTAGTTCAAAGGTTTTTTGGCAAGTCAAATTACATGAAGTGATGCAGCCCAGATTCTACACAATTCAACTGGACTAGAGGCCTAGGATGTATGAAGACCTAATTCGGCTCAATTGATTTTCAAATAACTCAGTAAGAGATTTGGACACATGTTAAATGGGCTAAAATCTCAATTTCACCATTTTCCTTTCTTTCTCATATTTCTTTTTAGAATTTAAAATTTATAATATTCCCTCCAAAAACTATTAAGGGTCATTTTAGCTACTTTCTTATTTTCTAAGGTTAGTTATAACTAACTTTTGGCTTATAATGGGTCACCCCTTGTACGCAAGAGGCATTCTCATTTTTCATCAGTTTAATCTCAAGTTTCTTCCCTTTATGGAGGTTCTCCCCCTTTGTTGGTCGATTTCAACATCCCTATGAGCTCAAGGAATCATTTTTTATCATGTGGACTCAAGATCAACCCCTTGTGAACTCAAGGGACAAAATATCTTCGTTATGTGGATTCAAGTCAAGGACTTTTCATCCAAACACATTCCTTGTAGATGCAAGGTTGTAATTTTGCTTCCATAATTTACAAGTTGAAATGTGATCAAATTATTAGTTGTTCTAATTTTTGTGACAACAAGTGGTCTCAAAACAAGGTTAGCATTCTAGATTTTTTTTAAAAGATGTCGTGAGGTAAAGGCATATTAATCAACAAAAGGAAAAGTTCTAACATATGTCCTATTTCAAGATTAAAATTTGTTGATTTCTATAATCATATTGAATAAAAATCTGAAGATTTAAATGACACATTGAAACAAATTTTGGCAATAATGTCTACAATTGAAGTGTATTCTTGTGGCCAAATTGGTCAAAAATCAAATGATTTGTCAACCTGCCTATAAAAAATATTTAAATGACACAAGAAACTCAAAAAGTAAATCTAATTATGATAATTGTAAATATTTTCAAATAAAAATTGCTTTACTCAATTTTAATGAACATTTAAAATTGAAGAATTTCTACATTAGATTTCAGAAATTGAGTGGTTTTTCAAATATATGAAGATTTTTTATGAGAAATATTTGAAATTAATTACATGTAAACTGAAAAGAAGAGCCTCTACAAGGTGAGATCAACTTCAATTAATCTGTGAAAGATCAATTGAAGTGGGCTTAGATTAATTGAAGTTGATCTCACCTTGTAGAGGCTCTTCTTTTCAGTTTACATGTAATTAATTTCAAATATTTCTCATAAAAAATCTTCATATATTTGAAAAACCACTCAACTTCTGAAATCTAATGTAGAAATTCTTCAATTTTAAATGTTCATTAAAATTGAGTAAAGCAATTTTTATTTGAAAATATTTACAATTATCATAATTAGATTTACTTTTTGATCAATAAATTGAAAAACCACATGAGATCAACTTCAATTAATAAATTACTAAAATATAAATTTCTTCCTCTTAATTATGAACAGATTTTATATGAATAATATTAAAGTTAGGAATAGAAAAATAATCATGGGAGAGTATGCTAAAGAATTTTTTAAATTGTCATCTAGAGTTGATATTATTGAATCTGAAACTTATATGATATATAGACTGAAAAGTGGGCTTAGATGAGATATTGAGTCAAAAGTTGTGTTACAATCATTTTTTAAGTTAAATGATGTTGTTATGACTTATGAACATGTTGAATCATAATCAGAGAAAGGAAAAGTTAGATTATAAAACTTTCAACATGACAAGTCATGGGCAATACCCATTTCATCTATTCCAACTATAGGAAGAAATGACTACAATATGGTCAAAATCAAATACATCCATTTCACCTGGGCAATGGTCTGCACAAAAAAATTCTTACATGCCTAACTCTATTTCTAAATGCTAAAAATTTAGTGAAAAGGGACACAATTTCAATATTTGTCTATAATATGGTTTAGTGAATTATATTGAAACAATTGATGAAGATGAAGATACTAAAGTACAAAATCGAGATGAAGTTCAAGAAAATATTGTTGATGATGAACATGAAGATTATTCTTATTCTCTAACGTCAAGAAATTGATATACACACTAAATAAGGAAGAACATCTACAAAAGCATGATTTGTATAGTATTATTGTAGAACAAGTTGTTTATTGTATTCCTTTAAAATTTCTGTTAGATTTAGTAGATTTGCCTAAATTACTTGGAACTAATACTACAACAAACAACATGATTGAACATACTAAGGCAGTCTAGGAAAATGTCAAGAATCATCTTTTTGCTAATTATGTAAATTTTAAGACAAAAACTGATCAGAAATGAAGAAGATTTTTTTTTTGAAGTTGGAGATCTAGTTATAATTTATTTGAGGAAATAAAGGCTACCAACATGAAATTATAGTAAGCTCAATTAGAAAAAGTATCAACCATTCAAGGTGCTGCAGAAAATTAATCACAATGCTTATGTCCTTGACTTACCACATACGATGGAAATATCTTCTACATTCGATGTTATGAATTTGTATGATTATTATCTAAAAATAATAAATGACTTGAGTATGAGTTATTTTGAAGGGAAAATTGATGAAACCCAATTTCTACACAATTCAAATAGACTAGAGGCCCAAGATGCATAAAGACTCAATTCAGTCTTCAGTTCAAAATAGCCCAGTAGGAGATTTGGACACATGTTAAATGTTTCAAAATCTCAATTCTTGTCTTTTCTTTTCTTTCCCACATTCTATTTTTAGAATTTTAATTTCTATTATTTCCTTAAAAAATTGTTAAGGGTCATTTTAACAACTTTCTTATTTTCTATGATTAGTTATAACTAACTTTTGGCCTATAAATAAGTCACCCCTTGTAGCCCAAGAGGCATTCTGTATTTCATCAATAAAATCTCAAGTTTCTTTCTTTTGTGGAGGTTATCCCTTTCTATTAGTGGATTCCAACATCCTTGTGGACTTGGGGAGTCATTTTTGATCTTGTGGACTTAGGACCAACCCCTTTGTGGACGCAAGAGATAAAGTTTCTTTATTATATTGATTTAGGTTAAAGAGTTTTCAGCTAAACATATTCTTTGTGGATCATAATTTTGCTTCCATACATTGTAAGCAAAGCTAAAACGTGATCAAATCATCAATTCTTCAAATTTTCACTATGTCATGAAATCATTTAGTTGAAAAGAATTATTTGAGTATTCAACAATCATCTTCAACAAAATCAAAGAAGCAATGTCTTACACCTTCAACTAGCATCTTTACGAGAAAACGACATTAAATATGTTCTCTTAATCATCATCTATTAGATGCACTCTAAGTCAACATGATTCTTTATAAATACTTCACAATGATATGTTTAATATTTATAGTAGAATAAATATAATATTAAATATTTATTTACTACATGTGAGAGTTTTCCTACTAATTAATTATTTACCTTTTATGTGATAAATCTAGATGAGGATGTAAAGTAAAATTTTAAGGAAGTTGAGCTCAATAGTTAATAGTTTGTCATTAAAATGTGAAATAACTCTAAAATCTCTCAATCTTACATTATCGATTTAGAAATATTATAAGAATTAGGAAGTTAAAGAAAAGATTAATTTATCAAAAAAATCTTATCCTAAGGAAAATTAGAAATCAATCAATTTAATCCCCCTTCTTGATATTAGTGGAGCCTAAAACTCAATGTTTGGTTGAATTAATAAACCAATTAAAAGAAGTCTATTTATGATTGATTTAACAAGATATAAAGACAAAAACCTTTTTTCTCTCTAGTTGTGGCCATTGAACATCCAATGTCTCCCCCTCTCCATGGCTTGATTGTAAATCTTCATTATCCTCTATGGTTGTATCTTGTTTTCTCATTCATGATGCAATATCTCTTACTCTTTTGGTGGGCATGAAAAGGTATATTAGCCTCTCTGTTCCACATTAAAAATGCATAACATGTTCTCCCTTTTTTCTCATTGGATCTTTATACATTGTGGATTGTGCGCTTTCTAATTGTTCTTTTGTTATTATACTAGCGCTTAGATTCTAGCCATTTCCCCAACATGTGGTCAGCAAAAGTAATTGCTCAAGTTTTGGGCAATCTACCAACAACTAGTGTTCAGGAATAGAAAAGTGGAGAGCAACTTTCGTAGAGCCAGAGACACATCAGCTGACACCAGATGCATTGAAGGCAATGGTGACAACCCTAATCTTGAGAAGCCCTAATGAGGAGATAAAGAGGAAGATGCTATGCTTTACATTACAAATATATGCATTAATGTAAGCCTCCATGTTTAACATGGAATCCATGATGTTTATAACTCTATTTCAATAAGGAAATCATTGAGAGTAGGTTATGGGTAATCCAAAGTGCTTATACACAATACTAAAAACTAAAGCTATTGGGAACACTTCTAATGACTCCACCATAAAAATAAAATAATTTAATGAAATAGCTTATATAAAAATAAATAGTCAATTCAATTTGGCATGTTCTTAAACATAAGTCCAATCTCAATCCATCCTAGAAAGGGGAATGGGCAGGATCCTACTGAAATCACAGCAGTTAGTATTATGGCCTTTTCCCTCTATGGATATGATTTCAGGAGATTTGATACATATTTAATTGAAGTGGTACATATGCTCCAATCTAACATGAAGCATTTTTATTCTTTTATAATCTTACCTCTAACGTGATTTGACCATCCTCTATATGGAAATAATTACTTGGGCATAGTCCACTCACTTTGCTCTATTCTTGGAGTTATTGAGCACTGAAATTTAAGGTTTAGGGTTTAGGACTAAAGCTGACGCGGAGCCTTCGCTCGAGAGGGGGCAATCAACAGACCCCCGTGGATAAGCTCGGCGAGTTATGTAAACCCGGCTACCACATTCGTTGGGCTAATTGCCTCCTCCGACGTGTCAATCGGCTTGCTTGGACACCTTGACTATAATGACGATGGGGGGATTTTACTTACACGAGAGGGTTGACCACTCGGCAATAACTACTCGTGGATGTTACACTGACGCAGAAGAGGATGGCCGTAGTCAACGAACCTGGCCCAGTAGCCCCGGTACCTGGGGACGGCGACCTCGAGCCACGGCTTCAAGCTGCCGTCATAGTGGATGACGGCGGCCCTCTCCACGTCCGCCCTGGCGGCGCCGTCAGCCCCGCGGCCGAGCCCCAGCAGGTGCCACCGCCGCGCCAGAGGCCGCGTGTGGTTGTAGAAGGTCAACAGCCCCAGGGGGAGCGTCCCCGCCTTCCACGACGTCCTCTCCGCCGCCTGCACCGGCCGACATACAAGCTTGGTTCCATGTAGAGTGGAGAGAGGAGAGAGAGGAGATGAGAGAGAACACTAACCAGCTGGAGCCATTTCTGGTAAACCTCGGTCAACCCCCGGCGGCGCCACTGGTCCAAGTCGAAGATGTTCATCCCGAACGCCCACGGGCACGATTTGGGGTCGAAAGCACCGGCGAGGGCGGGGTCCGACAGGTCGACGAAGCTTTCCAGCCGGAGAGAGGGGCTGCTGCCGCCGCCGCACGTCTCTACCGCGCCGTTGACCTTCCCCTTGAGGTTAACCCTCCACAGCGGCCTCAGGTCCTTCCGGACGACCACGTCGTGGTCGAGGAGCAGCACCTTGCCCAGAAAGGGGAAGATCTGCGGGAGGTAGAACCGGAGGTGGTTGAGCGGCGAGACAAACCTCGGGTTCACCCCAACCGACCGCCGCAATTGGGAGCCAAAGTCAACGGGAAGCCAGGCGAAGTCCTCAGTGCTCGCCACGTGGACCGAGGCCGGGCGAGGCGGGTTCATGAGGAACCACATCGTCATCGCCGGGAAGTTGAGGGAGTCGGTCACCACATGGATCACTAGCTTTGATGGATCCTGTAGGAAAGAAACACCAAACACAAACCAGGAGAATAAGCTTCATGGCTTTTTGTTTCAATTGCCAATTTCGGGGATCAAAATGGGGGGAGAAAAGGGGGGGGGGGATTATCATCACCGCAGATGAGGAGACAGCGGACTTGATCACCACGGAGCAGGCGAGAATGTTGTCAGAGAAGATGGCGAGGTGGTAGAGATCTGCCCGGCGGGTCCTGCTCTTCTTTGGAAGCTCCCGCTGCTCAGGCCGCAGGCCGAAGTACCTGGAAGTCAACTGCATGGAGAGGCAGTGGAGGCCCTTGGAGATGGTTCCGGCAGCGAGATGAACCAGGTGGGAGACCTGGTGACTCTGAGCTCTCAGCTGCTCCTCTGAGTTGTATGCCATCGTGCGCAGATTCGTAGCCATGGCGGCGCAGTCGGGGTAGGCTCTGCCGGCCTTCGACAGTGAGGCCTCCATGGCTCTCATCCTCTGCAGGGCACTGGGCATGCTTTCGATCTCAGATTGAAGAACAGTAGAAATGGCATTATTCTAACTTCTTTTTTTCGTCCCCCACCAAAAACGTCATGAGAACTGTTTACCAACCTTCGTGATAAATCAGAGTCCTTGTTGGCCTGGCTGAGTATGGATTTAACCTCCTTTATCCGCAGCTTCAGCTCTCTCACAAGGCGAGAGTTGCTGTTCGGAGGGGTAAACTGTAAATACGCCCTTGCCATGATAAGCTGGTCCCTCATGTTACTGATCTTCACATTTGTGGTCGTTGGTTGAGTGGAGCGGTCGTTTGCTCCTCTGTTAACCTGAATTTGAACGCACAGTGAGAAGAAGTAAACACCAGGTAGCGGAAATTGAGAAGCCAACGTTAAAAGAGGCTTGTGACGGGTGTTATAAACTCCTTCCTTCATCTGTCTTATCAAGCAACATCAGTCCAGTCTGTGGAATACCTTCTCACAACTATTTGATTGGCAAAATACTGAAGTAAAAAAAATAGTCGACAAGAGACATATTGGGTGAGGTTTGACTACGGCATTTTTCTTCCAAGTTTTCAAGTCAAGAAAGCTGCATGCTTTCTCGAAATCATTATCTCTGCTGTAAAATTCTACGGTCCCAAGTCCTCTGTGGAATGATGTCATCAAGTCATCTAGATGTGGTGATAATTCCCCTCGTTTGAAGTTTATGATGTGATCATTAAGTCAATAACCTTTGAATTGTTCTTTTATTCCAATCTTGGTAGTATAAGACCATGGATTTTTTTAGTCTCTTTTGAAATTTATGATGAGATGAGAACTCATCTATCTTTCTCCACATAATCCTCTCTTCTAATTTTCGGCCTTTTCTGTTGACTCTCTAGGGCAATTTTCTACAACTTAAAGGTCTAGCTGCTGGATAAATCCATTAGACGAACTCTAGAAAGGGGAATCACTCTAACAGGTTCCTTTGGCACCTTTGGAACCTTGCTAAGATGACCGTCAACCCCAGACCTTGATATGAATAGTAAGAATATGAGAAGAAGAAGCATGGAGAACGATACTAAACATGAGTGAGGAACCCAATAGGAAAATGAAAGCAGCAGAAATTGACAAGAGCTACTTGCTAACTCGTCCTTTTTTTTTCCCGGTTCTTTTCCTTCTTTACAAATACCCATTCGACGGTAAAATAAAATTTAAATCTAACATGTGATCAAATCAGTGAACGCTGATCTTGATCAGCATTATATGTTGATCACTAAGAACCAAGAAAATGAGGGAAAAAAATAAGTTGAAGGTGAACCATTCAAGTTGAGTGACTAGATCTGATTCATTGAAAATTCCAATAGATTCTGGTCAATCCCACACGATTCCAGCTGTTTCCAATTAACTACTAGGGTTTTTTTATCCAAATTTTGAAACTGTTGGTCTCAGAAACCATGACATCGTTGGTGACTGAGAAGAAAATAACAGATAGCATGATAGAAAATGGGGAACGAGAATTCTTGGTACGCATGGGAAGGCCAATTCCAAGGGGAGTATAGAGGATCAAACACCCTAAATTCTCCCTATAGACATAAAATATTAATATACATTTGGAAAGTATTCCCAAACTCTCTGAAACGCTCAAAGATCGCATCAGGTTCTACAGATCTACCAAACAATTCCAAAAGCCAGGATTACGTCCCTTGATTCCCACTCTACCTATAATTCAAAAAAAATTGGCTCTGGAATGCCAATTCACAAAACAACATCCGTTCTTTACTTGATCTTCGTAATCTTACTCGACACATGAAAACACTATGCTCCGTGGACTGGGTTTCCAACTGAAGCTCCATATATATGGTCATCACCACTTTGCACACAGCGTAAAGGAATCAGCTATGCATATAAGCTAACTATACCGACAATTTGGTGAAAAAAATCGTAAAGATGATGTAACCTGGTCAATTTTTGGCTTCACATCTGATGTGAGCCCACGATGTATCTTTCAGAAGAGGGTCGATTCAAAACTAGACAAAACTTGCTGCAGTACAAAGCACCGCTGGTTTCATAAGCTAACGGAAATAGAAAGCAACATATAACGACTGGACGTTGTACAGTGTTAGGGAGAGAAGAAAAGAGGAAGGGATACAATAATGACAATGTTTTTATTACACTGATGAAAACAAGGAAATTTTCATCTTGATGGAATCAATTTTGTAGAGAAACTTGGATAAGCAAACGACCGATTAAAATAGATAAATTTCATGTCTTTTTTTCGATCATAATCTTACCATTCTACGGCTAGCAGTGGTAACATTTTGGTGAAGCGAAACTCCCTCCTGACCCCAGTCAATTTTCATACCTTGGCGCACAGAGAAAACAAGCAGAGGACGATTAAAGTGAGATTCGAAGAAGAAGGGCTTCTATGTATTTCGAAGCAAAGAGAAGCACTTAAAGAGGAGCTCATCAACCACCCTACCGTCATCTTCCCCTTTAATACTGACATTACCAGCCGACCTGTTTCCACCAGCAAAAGGTCCAGTAAGAACGATGTCTTTCAATATTTCTCTCACTGGTTCTTTTACTCCCTCGCCCCCATCCTGGGCAGATAATTGGAGTGTTAATCAAGCATAAGGTTTTATATCTAATCCCTCCATAAGCTGAAACAAAGACAAAAACCTGCTTGAGCGAGTTCAGTCGGAAGACATCAGAATGGTACGTCTGCATCCACAAACCAAAGGCTCCCTTGATTCAGGGCGAGAAAAATATACGCGGAAAAGTTACGATAGTACAAAAGAAAAAAAAAATCTAAAGACACTAGAGAGTTTCTCACAATCCCCGGGATGTCCTCGACGAAACCCAGCCTTTCATCTGGAACGACAAAATAAACCATGCATAAAAATCGCTCCCATGAACTGAAGCAACAGATAAGGAGAAAACAGAGCCAAAAGATCGAAGCACGCAGATAGAGAGAAATAGAGGTAAAGGGACGATAGACGCCGGGGGAGGGGAACGCACCAGACGATGGTGTCAGCCTCCCTATCCTAGAATAGAGAAAGATAACAGGCGAAAGAACAGAGATGCCAAGAAGCGAGAGGATGAGGATCCTCTGGTTCCTCCCGGCCTGCTTCATCTAATCAAGTCCCCGGCGTACTCCCTCCTCTCTATCCCGCTCCCACGCCGGAGTAGAACGCATTGGCGGATCTCCCTCGCCGATCAAGCTCCTCCTTCCCCCCACCAACCAAGCGCCTTCCCTGTGTACCAGTGGTAGCGAGCCCTCCTCAGCCCTCCTCCTCCCTCCTCCCGGAACGGCCGGTGGCGCAGTGGAAGCGGAAGGGCAAACTGGCAGCGGCGGAGTGGAAACCGGTGGACGCCGACGTCCAAGAAACAGCCGGCGAGGAAGAATGTGTCTCCGCTCCGCTCCCTCACGTCTCTTTTATATTAAATTCTAGAATCGATATATTATTTTTCCACGTAGGTATTGATTCATTTACTTTCCCCACGTGGCCATAAATATTGTTCTACTGCCCTGCAGCCCCTTTCTTTCAAACATTTATCGTTTCATCCTCTTATGTCATGAAAAACGCGCAACTGACATCGCACACAGGAGTATGTATTCAATATAGTAAATGTTAAGGATATAAAGTAACTACGCTATAATTTCAGGAGCGGCGGAGGGCAGTAAATGTTGCCTTTGAGATCCGACGGATAATAAGTCGTTTTGCCGCGTCAATCACACAACTGCGGCACGATTAGAATCGAACGGCGATGAATTCCATACCAAACGTGCCACTTTCCTTATTAGAAAAAGACCATCCGCCAGTCCAACGGACAACCTCTCACGTGCAGCCTAGAGTGTTTGTTACGAGGACACGTGGTGGCGTCTCGTTGGTCAACAAACGGCGTCGGCATCCACCGCTTTTGCAGGCTTTTGTCCAGAGAGATAGATAATGGGCCAGCCGGCTTTATTTATTGGGCCGGTAAAAAAGGGCCGTTCAAAGGTCGGCGTCAGTGCAAGTGAAATTATATTTAAATCCCATGTTTAATTTTTAATTAAAAACATTTTTCTTCACGTTTATTTCAAGATACCGGAGAGACTGTGTCAATCATCCTATATATTATTATTGTGGTATATATAGGGGAGAGAGAGAGAGAGAGAGAGAGGGTTCTCGGGCATGGCCCAATTGAGAGGTGGGCCTTGGCCCAATTAAGAAAAGCCAGGTCAGGCCAACGAATAAAGATTGAGACATGAGTGATCGTGCGAGAGCATCGACGGTCGACCAGGCCGGTGTGATAAGGATCTGACGGTTGTGATTCTCAGAACGCTGTAGGGACTCTCCGACCGCCGGGTGGCTGACGGCGTAGGTGTGCGGCGCTGACCGAGAGGTGAAGAAAAGGAAAGTCGCTAAGGTGCTTGGGACCCTACGATCTAGAGAGAGAGAGAGAGATCCATCCGACCGGTGAAATGGACCTTTCCAGGTCAACTCCCTGCCGGATCAGCACTGAGGCTGGGCGAATAGTCGCCGGAGGGTCAACTCGTTTAAGTGGGCCTCACATGTTAGATCACCGATCAACAGACTCGCGGTGATATAACGATGATGACACCGTTTATTGAGATGGGCCCACCACCGCGCCTTCCCCTACGTTTTTCCTTCCCGTTTCTGTTCCTACTAGCCGCTCCAGCCCGCCCGCTCCTCGTCGTCAGATCTCCTTCTGTCTGTCTGTCCCTCTCTCTCTCTCTCTCTATCTCTCTCTCTTTCTCTCTCCAATCAATGCAGGCGAAGGGGCCGTGTGGGAGCGCGCGGGGTTGCAGCGCACGATTGCATGCAGAGGGTGCGGCGAGGTAGGGGAAGGGGGGCGGTGGGAGCGGTGGAGTTCGCAGCGGGCATGGCGAGGAAAGGAGGGGAGAAGGAAGAGGAGGAGGAGGATGAGGAGGAGGAGACGACTGGCGTCGCGACCGGGGTGGTGAGGGTAAAGAGGGAGCTGCTGGCGGCATGCATGACGTGCCCCCTCTGCCACAAGCTCTTCCGTGACGCCACCACCATCTCGGAGTGCCTCCATACCTGTGAGTCTCTTCATCCTCTCCCTTCCCATCCTCTCCCCCCAGGGATTTCGACGCGCATCCGGGCTTTCCCCCTTCATCTGGTTCTTTTTCTCTATACGGGTTCTGCCCATAGGCCGCCGAGTTCATGATCTGGTTTCCTGGCGGATTTCCTCGAGAGAACCAACGATGGAAGTGGGCTTGTCCCCGTCCTCCATCTTCTACGACGGGTACATTCCTGCGAGCATGGAATGAGGTCGTGCTTTCTTCCCCGCTGTTTTGGTTCTTCCAAGCGGGCTTTCTCGGTGGCTTCAAGGGGGGGTATCCCTGTGGAGTCCGTCGTCCTCATCCGCTGCGTGAGATCAGACGGGATTCTTCGTAATACTGCTACGATTGCGCGGAGAGGCCAGACTTCGTTCATGTGATCGTCATGGGTCCCATTACGATATCTGGGAAACAAAAGAAATTGACGTTTTTGGTCCGTGGGTCGTCGGCCTGGTTTAACTGGGAAACAAAAGGCTTTACTTGGGAGTCACAAACTCTACTCTCAGCCATAGGAGCGCTGAGAATTTCTCTCAGCCATAACATGCAGATGCATGCACGCCCATCTGATTTGTGGCCGGTGAGGATTCATCCTTGTATCTGTTAATTATTCAGAGGTTTTTTTATTCTTGTAAGAAACCTTCTACTAGGGTAATTGTTAGGAAGGCGCTGCCGGTTTTCTAGTTCTAACTATTTTATGACTAATTCCCAGTTTGCTCACCCTCATGATGTTTGATTTATAGAATGGTTTCTTCAATTATTCCACTTCATCAGAGATCGATCAATCAATCAATCAATGAATACGTGAACTGGGCTTGGGAATCATCCTAACTAAATATTAATTGAGCTATCGTAAATGAATTGTAAACAACTTCTGCTGCTGAATCATTGAGAACTTTGTCTGGGGCTACTTCTATTGGAAACTTTGTGAATTTCTGCCTGAGATGGGGAAAACGAAGGACTAGTTCCTTCTCGTTCAAAGGTCTGATGCTCATGCTTATAAGAGAGGGGCTGTTAGTGAGCACTGTTCTATCTTCTATACTGAGCTTTTACGGGAGGGTCAGGTTCTATTTAATTAATTTCGATACTCTTCTATTAAGAAATCCAGTGGGCCCACTAATGTGTCCGTTTGATTAAACCACCCTTTTAATATGTCCTCAAGCATGCATTTAACCAAAATATCCTAATAATGAAGCCGAATGGGCCACCTTAAGGTATGGTTAGCAGCCCCAGATTCGTCCACCTGGACCATTCCGCAAGCACTTGTGATTTGGGTTGGGTAAGTATTTTTTGTGGGCGTGTTCTCATACTCAATTCCTACTACATGTAAGAAAATAATACCGGCTCGTTGTTGCAATCTCTGGTGTATGTTTGAGTTGTCTTGTTGACTTTTTTGTTTTTAGGAAACTTGTCCTTCCTTTTCTTGTTTTCTTGAAGTTTTTTTTCGGAAATTCATCTCAGGACAAGAAAGTTGTTTCATCTGTTCTGCTTGGATCTCAATGGTTTGTGGAATATTCTTTGATGATAAAATATCTGAAAGCCTTGACCATCGTTGACTTATTGTTTTTTTCCTTACCCTTTGTTTGCATCAGTTTGTCGGAAATGTATTTATGAAAAACTGACTGAGGAAGAGGTGGATTTCTGTCCAACTTGCAAAATTGATCTGGGTTGTTCCCCAGTCGAGAAGCTCAGGTGAACTTTTTCTTATCCATTTCTTTTTTTTCTCATTGATATTCTACCGAGTATTTCTGGCTTGGCATAGTAATAATACTCAGAGTTTGGGATCAGTGTATTAGCTTATGACTTAGACTGGGAAAAATTACTTGGACTTCAACTGTTCCTTTTAAATCAAAAGATTCCTTATAAAGGAACCTTCAATTGGTGACTTGGTCAATCCTAATGTTTATCTAGTGCTGGAATTTTGGAAAATTTCATGATTTCAGACTGAATTACCTAACCCTGATGGACCCACATTTTAATTATTAGATAATAGTATGGTGAAGTATGTTTTAAACAATTTTTTATTTACTTGCATGAAAAAAAAATGTCATTTTTTTGTGATCTTACTATTACGAATGACATTTAAATCGTTCTGAGGATTATATTCTTGAAAAACTGATCCAACTTGTTCGAGTTGGACCAATTCAGACTGGGTAAATGTACCCTGATTTATGCACATTTCAATTCTTCATTTTTAGCATATTAGGCATAATTTTAGTCATCCGTGCCATTGTAGAATGACCAACAGATCCATTGAAGGGGGTAGTGCCCTTGTGTGAGATCTATTGCCTAGTCTTTCCATCCTGTAGTTACAGGTGAAGGGCTCAACATGGAAACAGTTGAGTTGAGGCAATGGAGATCTAAACACAAATTTGAGAACAACCCTTCAAAGCTGAAAAAGAATAACCCATTGGGTCTAATGTTTTTAAATGATATGGATTTCCGTGTTGATGATCTTTTCGGTTGACATTCTGTGATATTTGACATTTTCTCATAATCATACAACCTATGGCTCCACCTGATGAGATGCAGGCCAGATCACAATCTTCAAGACGTGAGAGCAAAACTTTTCCCCCTAAAAAGAAGGAGAATCAACATCCCCGAAGTAGCTCCTGTTACATTGCCCATACGACGAAAGGAGAGATCGCTTTCTTCATTGGTTGTCAGCACACCCCGCATGGCAACACAGAGCAGTTTGACTGGGAGGAGGACAAAAGCAACACCCAGAAAGGCTACTGGTTCACACGGCGATCCAATAAGAAAAGAAGATAATTCTGAAGAGCAGCCGGAGAGCACAAGCTCTGCAGAGACTCTCAGCAGAATGGCACAGAGTAGAAAGCAGGTAGAGGAGCAGACTACCCATGAATCTTGTTCTTGTTCGCCTTCTCATGTCGTGTCCCTTAGAAAATTTTGATTATTTCTGCAGAATTCTTCCAGTGTGGAGCCATCAAACCAGACATCGACTAAAGACCTAGAGAATGGGGGGGAAGCTTCTGCCGACATAACCGAAATGTGGAAGCCCTTAAATTGTTTAGTTGAAGCTGCAAATAGAACAAAGTCTTTTAAAGTCGATGGGCAATCCTCTGTTGGTAGGTCTGGACAAAATATTGGTCATGAAACAAAGGCAGGGGGGCAATCACTTAAGTTGGAAGTGCAGCATGATGGTAATAAATGTGTCCCTGTAAGTCCAGCTCCAACAAAAGCTCGAAGGATACATGGCGTTGGACGGAAAAGGGGTCCTGCTTCAAGGGAGCTTGGAGCAACAACGCAAGCATTACCTGAAGCCAGTTGTGTGAAACAGGAAACGAGGATTAGTCCAATATGGTTCTCATTGACTCCTGCTAGAGACCAGTTAATAAATTTATTTATTTTTCTCAACAAGGGTATCCTATGTGATACAAGTATTTTTTTTATATATATTCTTTTAGTTTATTCTATTTAATCATCGTTTTAGGGAGGAGGATGCTCGATTGCCGCAGATATCTGCATCTTATGTGAGAATAAAGTGAGTCACCCTTATGCTAAGTTATTATTGTTAAATATCGCTTGATATAATCATGCCTATTGATTGACTAACGTGTGGTTTTGGAATCTTGGTTATTGATTTTTTATTATGAATGTAGATGTTCTACCACGTTTCATAGAGCCACTTAGACAACCATGATGGGACTGTCAATCTTTTCTTGTTTGACTAAGATGCCACTGACCCTGAGAGCTTTGGCCAAGGATCTCTTTTTCCTTAGGGTACTTTAAAACTAGCTTGGGCACCAAGAAAGTGAAAGAGAAATTATTTGGTGAAGCATTTTGAAGGGAAGAGAATGTGATCTGGTTTCTAATTATATCGGTTCTCTGATTTCATTCAATTTTTATAAGTTGATTAATGATTTTTTAATAGTTGAACCAATTATGAAGACATTCACGCTTGTCGCTATAGAAGACATTTTGAGGAAAATATAGTTTAAATCCTCATCGAGGTCAACTATGCTGGCATTTACGATGGATTGAGGTCTCCCAGATTTGATTTCATGAGAATCAGAAAAATTCACCAGAAAATTGTGTCGAGTTGTAGAAATTGTTGCGATTGGTCTTTGGTTTTTTCAGTCAGAATATATGAACAAAAAAGTAAATTTCTAACCTTTAAATATTCCCTAGTATTCCTAGAAAAACGTAATAAAACAGAGGTTCTATAAATGACTATTTACAAGGTAAAATTCTTCTATCCCCTGGCCTCATCACCCCCCCAGTGGTCATGATCCTGGAACTGACCTTCAGTTTTCTTTCTAGGCGTGGTATGCTGGGCTTTTTCAGGTGCGGAAATAAAGATAAAGAGACAGTAAAGGTATTCATGGAGGACAACGAAAAGGGATAGAGGAAGAAGCTAATGGAAATGGGCTTCCTCTTTTCTATCTTTATCTGTTTTCTTCCATTTTTCCATCACCCGTGGGAAGAAAAATACTGTAAAAATGGCTCTAGATCTTTGATAGTCGTGACCTCTAGTCCCCCCACCCCCCAAGAAAAAGCTAGAAGTAAGCATATAATATATAAATAATAAAATAAAATAAATACATAAAAATTAAATAAAAGGACAGGAATAACATTATGAACCGTTTTTTTCTGTATTCTCTTTCTTCTGTTTTTCTCTCTCAAACAACTTGGATTCCCTATCCTGTAAATAGCTATCTGGCACTTGTACTTTTTTTGGATTACATTAAGCGTCTTGGATAGCTTTCAATATATTGAAATCTCAGCGTAGAATAATGCATTACTTGGGAAATAATTCGTGGCAATGCTGACTTTAACTCTTGGATATCACCTGTATGCATTTCATGGTTAATGATGTTACCGTTTGGCCCCCTAGATATATATTTTAAGCTGACTTCGCATATCCTTGCACACATATTTTTTTTGAAACTTTCTGACCTGCCATCGTGTTTGTGAATTTTCCCTTTATCCATTAATGTCCTTAGACATTTAAAATGTTTTCATTAATCTAGGAATTGCCTTTTTTTTTAAATAGGGATTGTAATCTACCAGTTTTATTCATTCAAAAGTACTTGGCCAAGAAGCTTGACCTTGCCAGTGAGACAGAGGTGAAATCTCTTTCCAATATTTCCTTTAACATTTTACATCGTCTCTGAATTATCCCAGATGAAATAAAGTTAGATCAGAAGATGCATGCTAATGTTACCTTTTTCTTGCTCTAAGTGAGAATTCTGTGTCCTAAGGAAAACTACACTACATCAAAGAAAATGTGAGATCATCTTTCCTGCTTAACTTTCCCTTCTTACTCTGGAACTTGACAGTTTTTGCATCCTTTATGTGCATGGGAGTACACGTTTGAGAAGTAGAAATTTTTTTGATGATATTTTGGTAGAAAATTTATTCTCGTATTTAGCTAGTCATGTGTTTGGAAGTAGAAATTTGATCTCACTAAGTTTTAAGAAAAAAAAGGATGATACCAAGTGCCAATCTCCATAACCTTTAATCAGAAGGATTGGGCAGAAATAGAAATGAAAAGGATAGTTTTGAGGATGTTAATTTCCTAATGAATGACAGAAAGGATGGTTACAAGTCAAGGATGACGGTCTCCTTAAATATTTCCACACTTTGAGACATTTAGGCCTAGAAATATAAGATCTTATTTTCTCTTGATCTAGTGGGAGAATGAGAGGCCCACTTCGTCTTCTTTACACATACACAGAGATAGAGAGAGAGAGAGAGAGAGAGAGAGAGAGAGAGAGAGAGAGAGAGAGAGAGAGAGATGTAACTAATCATCAAATCCCCAAGTTCCAGGTATATATACCCTGCTGCCAACGAACCATAGTTTATCCGGGTACCACATGCCTACAAGACCTTCCAGAAGTGTTATACATACAAGTTTATTTATTACAATAAAAAATGTAGAATGTAATATGAAGCAGTAGCATATGCACAAAACCCAGTGCACACCCACCCTTTATTGTTCTCCGTAATATGCACAGGCATCAGTAGATTATACTCGGTGATGATGGTGTACTAGAAAATGTGGCCATTGCTAGGTTAGTAGATGAAGCCCCCCAATCACTTTCATGAATTTTCTACCCCTATTTTTGGGCAGAAGCGAAAACATTAAATGCACGACAGAATTGAAATATCCCATTCAATTTCATACCCGGTAGAATTTAGATCAGTGAAAAAAGTGGTTTTATACTCTCGTCATTCCTTATTACTTTATTCTTGCTAATACTGAACCAGGAAGTACGTAGGTTTGATCTTAGCAATGATTGTGTTGGAATGTCTGGGCAAATTTATTGTTTATTAATCCAATTTATTTTTTATTTTTTAAACTTACGTAATTATTGTTTATTATTAGCCATTTTTTGGCCCAAACCTTGGAAATTTTAGTGGTTTGATGAGCATCTCTGCGTCATAATGATTGAGTAAATAATGGGCTTGGAGTGTTGATGATAAAAAAACCGATTTCCTTTTTTCTTTTTTCAAGGCCAGGAGATAATGATGATGATAGCTAGACATATAGATGGAAAACTCTTTGCCCTCACAGAACTTGCTCATCATGATCTGATCGGTTGATCTGGACAAATATCGCGTCACTTGTTCTCAATATGTGCTGCCATTTCAGCCGCCTGATTGGGTCCAGATGGGTCTAATTCTTCTTGGCCCTTCTGCTATCGACCAGCTTATTCTGTCTAAATCATCTAGCACAAACACACAGATGTATATATAGATATATATATATATATATATATATATATAATATATATATATACTATGCTGGTTCAGAATTCTCCACCTGAGATTGATCCAATGAAGAATCGGCCGCGATCGTTTGATGTCAGAAGGCATCTGTGTCTTCATTCCCATTCCCATTTATGGCTTTTGGCGTTCTCTTCGTGGTGTGAGGTCTCAACTCCGGCTGGCTCGAACTTTGTGCAGGTGGAGATCACATGCAGAGGGCAGCCCGTCTCCCCAGCGCTGGCGATGTGGGAGTTGGCGGGATTGTGGCTGCAGGCAGGCCCGTCACAGCGGGCCCCGGCATCGATTGGCACCTCAGCTGAGGATTTTGTGATGGCACTCGGATATGCCCGAAGGGCCATCTCTGCCTAGCCAACCCTTTACAGAAGCTTCCTCTCTCTCTCTCTCTCTCTCTCTCACGCTCTGATATGGTGGTTGTAGAGTGGTGTGGGCTTTAGCCTCATAAGCGGTGAAGAAGAGATGCTGATTTATATCATATTATATCTCATAATTGGGTTTGGGATCTCTTTCCTGAACAGTGGGATCCATGTGGGGTGTTGGTGGGCAAACGACACCGTGGAAGGATGCATATTTGAGAGAGAGAGAGAGATCTAGTTAATGGGCTACGGCCCATAAAGGACGTGGGGTGGGGGTGTTGTTGTTGTGGCCTGGCGGGCCATCAACATTGTCGAACGTAGCCCACTAATGGGCTACGGCCCAAGCGGATGCACCGAGAGAGAGAGAGAGAGAGAGAGCGAGAGGGGATCCAATTAATGGGCTATGGCCCATAAAAGGATGTCTAATAAACGTTCTGGTATTGCGCCCATTTGGCTCATAATGGCCCGTTGTTGGGCTCTTTGAGAGGAGAGCGGGTTAAGCTCTTGGCGCCATTTCGGAGGGAGAAGAGGGGAGCAGGGTACTCAAATCTCAGAGGAAGCTGGGTAGGCGTGTCGAGGGGGGAGGGGAGAAGGCAGCGAGCTGGGGTTGGGAGTCCAATGGTGGAGGAAGAAGCGTCAGCAATGGAGATCGACGGCCCTCTTCCTCCTTCCAAGTCCCACCACAACGGCAGAGGCAAGGGAGTAGCGGCCGCCCCGCCGCCGGATGGTAAGTCTGCGCCGTGGGTTGAGAAGTACCGCCCCCAATCCCTCGCCGACGTCGCCGCTCACCGTGATATTGTCGACACCAGTAGGTCTCCTCTTCTGCTATTTGTGGATTTTCGTGGTTTCCCCTTCCTGTGGTTAACCTCATGGTTCTGCCCCGACGAGCAGTTGACCGCCTGACGAACGAGAACAAGCTGCCGCATCTGCTTCTGTACGGGCCGCCGGGGACTGGAAAGACATCGACGATCCTGGCTGTGGCGCGGAAGTTGTACGGGGCGCATTATCATAACATGATACTGGAGCTCAATGCATCAGACGACAGGGGTATAGACGTCGTCAGGCAACAGATTCAGGACTTTGCGAGCACCCGATCTTTCGAGTAATCTTTCTTCTGGCACATGCACACTCACTCACTCACTCACTCTCTCTCTATATACCTTTCTACGTTCACATCTATTTCCTGTTTAGGGTTTTAAGTTTTCATGGATTATCGAGGCTTCTGATAGCTAAAAGTAAGTGTTCTACATGAAGATCTCTTGGCATCGATAAAATGGAGAGGTTTTGAAGAATAGACATGGTGGCTACTTTTAGTCGGTGTGTGGATTTGGATAACAATGAGTTCGGATTTATGCATGATTGTATGTGTATGGCCGATTTGTAAAGAATGAGGGCGGTTATGCAGTCCTTGAGTTTCCCTAGTCGTTAATTTTGGTATAACTCTTAGATTGTTTTTAGGAAGGAGCTTAACACTGAGAAATTAAGTTTGTCAGAAATAATTTTTTTGTTATGAAAAAAGTGATGCACGTTTGGAAATATGGGAAAAGTATTCTTGGGCTATTCCTTTCGACTCTTTCGACTATTATACGGCCGGTATTCCATTGGTCATAGACCCAAATAGTAGAACGTGCAATACATGTGGTGATTGTTAATCCAGCATAAGAACTCTAGCAGTGGATGTTGGACCAATGATTTAATATTAGAAGGAGAACATGGTTTTTCATTATTTTTTAGCTTTATGCTCATATCATAATTGTCAGATACGATGGGAACACAGCTTCGCTGCACATGTAGTTCTCCACGGAAAAATGCTCATTAAATGGAGAAAATTTGGGTTTTAGATGCCTTCCCAGCAAATACCCAAAGCTAATTAAGTTTAGTATTGACTCAGCAAGTATGTAACTATATAAGGATAGTTCCATTCAGGCCTTCGACTTTATTCTATATCATGTTCTACTGCGTTACTGTTATTCTTTATGTATTCGTGGCCTTCCAGTTTCACGTGGCATAAAAATATTTATAAAATTTACTTTTACAGTGCGTTGGTTTACTGTGAAATCATTTTATATTCATGTGTTTTGTTACATAGAGTTTTATTTTTACACCCTAGTGGTAAATGATTAATGACTTTCATTAAGTTTATTTAACATCTGTATGAATGATTTTACTGTACTCACATTTATCGTGTGGTGCTTATTCTTGATTGAAAATTCACTTTGAGTGTTGTTCTTCATCCAGCACAAAATCTTCAGTTAAGTTAGTCCTGTTGGATGAGGCAGATGCCATGACAAAAGATGCACAGTTTGCCCTACGTAGAGGTGTGTCCTTGCCCTGAGCTTATATTCGTAAAACTTCACTTGTTTCTCACGCTTTCTCCTGTGTTGCCTTTTTGGTGTAGTGATTGAGAAGTATACACGGAGCACTAGGTTTGCACTTATTTGTAATCATGTCAACAAAATCATCCCAGCACTTCAGTCCAGGTGTACTCGGTTTCGGTTTGCTCCTCTTGCTGCCACCCATGTTACTGAGCGCCTTCAACATGTGATAATGGCTGAAGGGTATACTCCCAGTCTAGTTTGCTTCCGCATCAAAAGGTTTTAAGGATGTAATGCTCGCATATAGTAATTTATTCATGTGACATTGGAGGTCCTTATGTAGCGCATTCTTTAACTAGTGGAGGCCTTTTCGTCATTCGTCTCCTAGTTGATGGCCTGCTAAGCCTGCACATAGTTGTGTCAAGTGACGGTTCTGACTTCCATGAGTCCTTCAGCTTTGGTTGAATCCCATGTTGGGTGTTTCAGTATCTCCAAGCGCTTGGAGACTTGGAGTTTATAGAATTGATTGCTACTCAGACTTTTCTTCAACTTGTTCAATTTACTCCTTTAAGTCTTTGTGACGTAACAAAATCGTTCAAAAAGCTTCAGTGTCAGGTCTTCCAGCAGATGTCAATTTGTATCGTTGATTGGAAACCTTGAAAACTGGGTTGTTTGGCAGACTGTCAAAGGTTCATCGTAGAATATCATTTTACCGTAGGTATTCATTTAGAATGCTGTTTCACATGGTTTTATCCCCATATATGTTTGTGAAATGTGCTGTTAGGATCTGGCTTGCTGGTCTATTTCTGATTTACCTTTGGGTAACCATGTTCTCAGAAGATATTTCATATTTTAACCTCTTCAGGTGATCTTTTTAATTCTCCAATTTCTTAAAATGATGCGGTGTCAATTAGAGCATGCAGTGTTCGTGAAAGCCTGAAACAGTAGAGGAGAGTCTTGAAATACATTCCAATTTACTAAAGTTATCTTCGATTATATTCTGAACATTATCGATTGTTGTCAACTGATCCTACTTTGAATGTTGTCGTGCATCCAGTTTTGTTCAAGATACTGTTCCCCTAATTCTCTTGTTCTTTGTGTATCTTCGTGAATGAGCTTTCATTCACCAATCCTCTCAATTGATGTTCTTATTGCTCGCTCTGGATCAGGATCGATGTGTCTGAGGGTGGGCTAGCTGCGGTTGTGCGGCTCAGCAATGGCGACATGCGGAAGGCTTTGAACATTTTACAGGTTTTCCTCTCAGATTTCTTCAATTTTGTTGGCTGCATAATGTTTTTCCTACGTTTTTTAGGAAAATAACCACGACTCAGGAGAATAGTTCTAGAAATAAACTTATGTAGATTAAAATTATAATCGGTGCTGAGTTTGGGCGACTCTGATAATCCTAAAGAGTCGGAGGAGAAATATCGTTTGTTTCTCCCTGCATCTCCAGATTTTATAGATTTTAGAAAAAAGACATAGGAAAAGAGACCATTCAGGAAAATTCATTGATATGGCGATCCCCTGCATATCAACATCTAAGTTGATAAATCACAATAAAATTATCCGATTCTTAATATTTTTTTCCTACTATTTATCAATAATCTCTGAATTCATGATTGGGAATGCCTGTTCCTATACTGGGAGTCGAAGAGACTAACACTGCTCATAACTAGTGATCAATATCTTTATGAAAAATATTATTTTTTCTTCAATACAGATTATTTTTCTTCATTGGTGTGATTTTGCGTTATTTTACATCACATCATTTCCTTCATTTCTGCAGTCAACGCACATGGCCTCCCCACACGTCACAGAAGAAGCCGTTTACTTGTGCACAGGGAACCCTCTGCCAAAGGACATCGAGCAGATAGCTTTCTGGCTTCTGAATGAATCATTTACGACCAGTTTTAGACGTATTTTTTTTATCACGATCATAATCTATTACCAATTTTAGAAACCCATTATTTTTGGTCGATCACAATCTACTAAACTAAACTAAACTAAACTAAACTAAACCCGTTGACATTCCTCGGCTATGTGTAGATATATCTGAGATCAAGCTAAGGAAAGGGCTCGCCTTGGTGGATATTGTGAGGGAGGTCACCATGTGAGGAATCTTCTAGGGATCCCTTTTCGTTTTTTTTTTTTAAAGTTATTTTTCTGAGCCTACTCTGACCACCCTGGTTTCTGGGGATCGAACAGGTTCATCTTCCGGATCAAGCTGCCCTCAGATGTTCGGGTTCGTCTGATCAATGATCTTGCAGACATCGAGTACGTATCTCTTGCCCCCGTTGACCTTGTAGGAGTTGAACGTCCTGAAAGCAATGTCTACTATTTCAATGATCCAAAAGTTGACTACTGCATGCCATTCTATGATATATTCCGTGCTATAAAATAAGAAGAGTTTTCATTTTAGAGGCACTCCTCTCTCTCTCTCTCTCTCTCTCTCTCTCTCTCTTGAGTGGATAGGGAAGAGTGATAGGCGCTCCATTTGGCTAATCATTGACTAAGAGGTGAGGCATCGTTTCAGGTACAGATTGAGCTTTGGATGCAATGATAAGTTACAACTGGGATCCGTCATCTCTTCTTTCACTCAGGCACGGAGTGCTCTGGTCACTGCAGCCAAGTGATCTCCCCTCCTCTCTCTCTCTCTCTATCTCTCTCTCTCTTGTGCTACTGCTGCTTCTGATTGAGAGATATTAAGGTTTTGTTTACTTGGGCCCCAGATGGATGTGCATCTTGTAAGTAGTTCTCTTTTGTGAGACAAGTTTACAGTCAGATTAGGAGCGTTCGGTGTATGCCTCTGGTGCTACAGCTTCTTGCTCCGTGGGACTTTTCCCCAGTCAGGTTGTAGTTAGAGCGAGAGAGAGAGAGAACCATGTTAGCTCTCCTATGATGTTATCTCTCTCTCATTCATATTTCTTCTCCAAATTTGAAGGAAAAACACACTCAGTTTCTCTCTCTAGTGGCCCGAATTGGAAATACTAGAGAAGATTAGAATTAGCCTCCACTATTCAAATAATGATCAGAATGGAGCCCTCTCTCTCTCTCTCTCTCTCGCGCTCTAGCTGGGGGCTAGAGGGGGGCAGCCAGGGCGAGGGAAGACAGATTAGGGCCCATGCCACAAGTATCGGCAAAGAACCTGAATTGTATAAGCATCTGAATCTTGATGCCTAACAGATATTCCTCGAAGAGAGCTTGTCGCCGAACAGGGTCACCTTCAAACCGGCCGCTTGCAGCAGGAAGACGGATAACTTCTTTGGAACGACTGTCAGAGAAACGGGAGATTACCCCATCAGGAAATTCCAAGCCTCCATTCAGAAAAAAACCCTGACTTAAACCCACTTTCTCAAAGGAAAGGAAATCTACCCCCCACCTTAAACTCTCCCTCTCTCTCTGCATTCATGCCCACAAATAGAAGAAAAGGAAATACAAACTCTTCCAAAGAAAGGAAATCTACCCCCCCAACACACCATAAACTCTCTCTCTCTCTCTCTCTCTCTCTCTCTCTCTCTCTTGTTACATTCCCTGCCTCATGCCCACAAATAGAAGACAAAACTCACAGATTGAAGAATAAAATCTTCGGCGGTCCCAGAAGAAAAATACCTCTAAATTTATCGTCAGGTGTGATTATCCCGAAGGTCTCTCTGGTTTCCCTGATCATGATGCCCCTCACGCCCACATAGCTGGATCCTTTGCACTCCACAACTACGTAAAACGATGCGTCAATGAACTGAAGAAAATACCAGATAAACTACCATAATGAGTGGGCGCCAAGGTGGGGTAACCCTTCCCTCCCTTAGATCTTTGATGAATTACCTTGCATAAAAGCACCATGCAGGTCGGCCGTGAGGAAGACTTGGCCCAAGTGTTTCCTGGAGCATCCATTTCCCAAAATAATGATTCAATAATAAGTAATAACATTGTTAATATAAATAATAATCATCGATAAGCTAATAAGCCACATAGTCAGTTTAAAATTAATTAGTACTGTTAATTGTATGAGATTGCTGTTAAGCATTGACCTTACCTTGGTTCCTTGAGAAGCTTCAGAACATATTCTTTCCACATTTCATGCATCGGTTTGAAAAGGTCAAACCTGCGGGCAGATAAAAAGTGGACCGATCAAGAAAGAAAATAGAAATGCTTCCCAAAACCTTTGGGGAAATTCAGAGGATCGCAATTCGAATTTAATATGGATGGTCTAATCATAAAAAAGAGGGCTACTAAGTAAAAGTAGATCATTTAATCAAAACAGAAAGATTAAATGATCATCCACTGTAACTAAAATAGAAAGGATGAAATCTAGAGCAGTTACGGGAGAGAATAAACTTACTTCCAAAACCTTGGAGGTAATTCAAGGGATCCACACGCACGGTGCTGGCGCATGGACATATGTTTTTTGGATCGATTTGAATGGCTCCTAATTGCCTTCATGCGGGCATCCTCCAATCCATTAGAGCAAGGAACATGATTATCAAGCAGGAGCCAGTTGTCAATCTTCATGTTCCTGGATCCTTGCATATATTTCTCAGCTGCGTCCCCATTTTGAAGAAGATCGTGGATGACGTTGTTGACAATGGTCGCCCTTGTGCCTGGATTCTTCTAGTAAGTTAAGTGAAGAGAAATCTCAGCGACAGTCAGAAGATGAATAGCTATGCTAAGTTTTTTTCATCATGTTAATAAGAAAATAGAAAAATTACCCCAATAAGATTTCTCCTAAATTGCTACCCACTTTCAAGCATTACCTCAGCAGGTGGCTTAACCAGATTTTCGTGAACAGTTAGTGAAAGCTCACGATATGCTGGATGAACTTCTTCTTCTGAACAGTATTAAAATAAAAAATAAGCATCATCGAATCTCATCATTTGATTGATTTGAAAATATGATTTTTAATGCTTATGATTCCTTACCTGAAGCCCCGGTAGTTCCGAATTTACCTTGGAATACAAAATTACCTATAAAAAAGAGTAATGGAACTTAGTTTAAAATATCCAAATATTTGAAAGCCCCATATATAACTCTGGAAAATAAACTACTCGGTGAATGAGCTATCATCCTCGAGATATAAAAGATGAGACACATAGCTAAATGCTACTACTTATTCTTAGTCAATGCTATCATTCATTACCGACTAATAGCACAAATTCTGTAAAAACTTGTCACAAAATCTAATTAACATCTTCATGTGAAGATCTCCACTACCAGTGCACCTAATGGCGTGCAACATCTACCTTGGCACTATCTTCTTCATTATTTGAGGCCAAACTTATACAATCATTGATCAGCTCAGATATCTGGAGAGTTGACTTTCCTAGAAAAGTATCTTATCTATTTATTGATAAAAATTTGCAACACATTGTGCTAATGAAAACTATCTGAGAGATGTCAGTAAAGGGAAAAGAAAAATCGAGCCAGTTGAAGAACCTTTCTTCAGAGCTGGGCCAGGATCCGGGGCAGAAGTGGAAGCCTTTTCAGTTCCCCTTCCTTTACTTTTTTCTTCTATTTCTTCGTCCTTTTGCACTCTCTCCTTATCCTTCTTCTTCTTCTTCTTCTTATTTTCATATGCCTTCTGGGGGACTTCGGGTTTAGAAGCAGAGAACCTTCGTTCCAGTGCCTCCAATGCCCTCTTCTTCTGGGCCGAGATAACTTCAGCTGCCATCTTGCTCTCTTAGTAAACTGGAAAATATAAGGAAGATCCTCAAGATTAGGAAAAAATAAATTAGTTTTGAAAGGGTTAATAACCAACATAACAAACTGGCATTTAAACCATTAATTTATTCTTTTTTTAAGACTAGGAGTCATACCCCAATATTCAGTTTCAGCCAACATTCACCACGGAACAAGAAAGAATAATCTTCCGAGAAATTCGAGCAATTTCTCAACGCCAGTTTCAGATCTCGGAACTTTCAATAAGTCCGATAGAGTCAGGTGGGGGTAGAGCTGCAGATGCTAAGATACCTTTCCATAACATGAAGGGAATACGAACAACTGAACATTCTTCAGGTTTCATGCTATAGAAGATTTCTCAGATGGCCTAACTATCATTAGTAGCACTAGAAAAATATCAAAGTAGCATGTGATATTTCAATTCAGCATTCAATTCAAAGTGAATCTTGGATCTTTTGTGGACTGGTAATTGATGAGAAATATTTTTTGACCTATGGTTCTACTGACGTAACGCTTTTAAGGCATAGATTTGGGGTTCCGGATTATTGAAGGACAATACCATAGTTAGAATTTCAAAACAAAATCACTGGATTTTGGGGAAAAACTCGTTCCCTCTTCTCCCAGTCTCAGAACTAACGGTCCGCAAAATAGAGCAAGAAACTTGCAGTGAGTATAGGAGATAAGATGAAAGGTACTAAGGTATTTCTTCTTCTTCTTCTCCGGCGCCTGGAACAGCCTTGGAATCGGGGCCGAACCCCAGGGGTTAAGTAACTCACGAAAGGTGGGGAATGCTGCGTATGGCGGCGTAAAGACAAGTCGACAAGACGGAAATCGTCTCTGGAATTCACAGGAGAACGACCCGGCAAGCGCGAAAGATCCCAGCCCTCCCAGCTTGGAGCCAGGTTCCAGCATTCACGGAGGCAAACGGACAGACGGTTAGAGGGGGGAAGCGGAACGGCCCAGGGAGGGGGAACCCCCGCCGGAGGAAGCGCCAATGAAGCGGGGGGGACAAGTAGAAGGCGAGAGGGGTTGTAGCCCTGCTAGGAGAAGGGGAGTCTTTTTCAAAGAGGCAAACCCCCGCCAGAGTAAGGGGAAGGCTTTCACTGTTGGGCATTAATTTAAAATTCGATACTTCAGAAGAAAAGGGGACGAAACCTCCTGATTCCATATTTCCAAAAAAATATAATCGAAGAAAAGCAAACGAATATCAAAAATAACACTAACGGAATCAAAATCCGGATAAGAAATTCGTATAATCAGCCGATGATCATCGGCAAGGAGAGGCGGGGCCGATCATTCCCCTTGGAGGGAGTGTGAATCTCAGAGCAGATAAGGAATTATTTTAAGGAGGCGCAAATCTCCGAAGGGGAGATAACTGCGGCAAGGAGGAACGATCTAGAGAAACAGAGGAGAGAGAAGAGGCAAGCGGATTCGAGGTACTGCTTTCTAGCTTCACCTGCTGTGGTTTTAGGGATTTTTCTGGTCCCTTTGTCTTCCCCTCGCTGAGTTGCGGCCGGTCGATCGATTCCCCGCGCTCTCTTTCCTCTCCACGGTCCCCTGGTGCTTCAGTCGCTTCTGGTCCCTACGTCTTCCCCTCGCTGAGTTGCGGCCGGTCGATCGATTCCCCGCGCTCTCTTTCCACTTCACGGTCCCCTGGTGCTTCAGTCGCTCTTCTTCCTCATACCACTAGGCATTTTCAAAACTCTGAGAGAGAGAGAGAGAGAGAGAGAGAGAGAAGAGATTGAGGTAAGAGAGAGAAAGAGAGCGAGCGACAGAGAAAGGGAGAGAGCGAGCGACAGAGAGAGAAAGAGAGCGAGAGAGCACGGGAGAGAGAGAGAGAGAGAGAGAGAGAGAGAGAGAAAGGGAACGAGCGAGAGCGAGGGAGAGAGAGAGAGAGAAAGGGAACGAGCGAGAGCGAGGGAGAGAGAGAGAGAGAGAGCGAGAACGAGAGCGAGGGAGAGAGAGAGCGGGAGCGAGGGAGAGAAAGAGAGCGAGCGAGGGAGAGAGAGAGAGAGCAAGCGAGAGCGAGAGCGAGAGAGAGAGAGAGAGAGATGAGACCTTATCGGGCCGGGCCATGAGTGGAAAAAGACGTTTTATGATGCCTGAGATGAGGCCCAAGATCCTGGAAACTTGACATCCGGCCTATTAACGCCCCCGTTGACCACTGCTAGCCATGACAAAACATCAGAGGATAAACCCGCGCAGTTCAACTAGCCATGACGATCATAATCCATGTTCAATCCATCTCTGATGATGATTTTGATCTGGCATCTACGGCGGTCGTAAATTATGGGATACGATAATAGTTATAAATAAAAACTTTTATCTTTCCTTTTTTAGGTGATTATCTGAATGCTTAAAGTGCAATCAGTCAACGGAATATATTTACAGTAAATTTCAGGAAGGTTGTATTTATAATTTTATTTCTAATAAATTAGAAAGAGTGAAAAATAGACCAAGAAGGGTATGGAAGTGCGACCAAGAAAGAGAGAGAGAGACGCAGTCCTGATTTTGTCCCTCTTCTGGTGGGTTTTAGACCCTCAATTTTCCAACCCCCTTTTCTTCTGCATTCTTCCTCCCCTGCGACCGGAATTGCCGGCACCAGTGCTGTCCCTTCCCCTTCGCCGTCTCTTCCATTTGCCTTCTCTCCTCATCTGGTCTCCTCCAACACCCAAGCCAACCCACCTCCCCGATGAGAATTCTCGGTGATTCCATGCCAACCCTCCTCCCCGACTGCACCACCACTTCGGCCCCGTCATTCTTCCGCTGCCATGGTCTCGACCTCCTGGCAATGGCGGCCCTTCACGTCGTCAGAGCCGCTGAGGAGAAGAAGGAGAGCAGCGGCCACCATGGAAGCAGCTTCGAGGATATCGACGTCGATCTGCTCATGGAGGAGGAAAATGCGGGGACTGGAGGAGGAGCCGAGTTTTTCTCGGCGGCGGGGAGGACGAGGCGGAGGAGGAGGACGGCGGTGCCCCCCAAATACCAGGACTCCGTTCTTCAGCCTTGGAAGCGGCAGACCCGGCGTCGCCGCCGGTTGTCTCCCTCCCCCAGACGGCCGGGCTAG